CGCCATACTTCCCAAATGAGTCATGAAAGGCGACATCGGCGCGATTATCACCATCAAAGTCTAATTTTNTGCTTTGATTGATATAATCTGTTCCGATGTGCAACCTGGCCAATTCACCTCTACTGTATAATCCATGTTGATTTATATCGGCAGTAAACCAGATATCACCTGCAAACTGTGCCGTTTGACTAAGAACTGGCCATAATTCGTTACCATCAAAGGTTTTTAAGGGCAGCTCGTCTCCTGCTCGCCAGATCAGATAGATAAACTGAGGTTCAGAAGGAGCGGGATAATCTGGGTTCCTGGTTCTGGAAAAATAATAAATGTTATCCCCAATTTGCTGGATGCTTTGCAATACAAAACTGTAAGTATCCGCATTGAAGCGTTGCGCTATCCATTGATTATAGTGTTCATCAAAGTGATAGACCGATAAATTAGTGCCACTTTCCGCATCAATTGTCTCGTAATAAAGCTTACTTCCGATATTCGCATAATATCGAATTTGCGCGTCCAACACAGGTAATATCTCATTATTACCTGGTTCTACACGCCAAAGGGTGGAGTAATACCGCTGTCCCCGATTTCGCAATAAAAACACTTGCTCACCATCGGTAAATAGATCTTCAGCACACCCCAGGTTGGTCACCGATTGCGTTGTTGTGTCAATTCGCTTCAGATAACCTTCACCAGTAATCAGATAAAGCTCATTGTTCAATTGCAAGGAATAAGTGCGATTACCACTTTCAAGGATTGCACCATGCCTTACTGTGCTGCACTGATGTGGAGAAGTAGTTGCTAAAAACTGTAATTCCTGCGAGGCAATATCAAACCGAAATAGTCCTTTTTCATCGTCTTTATCATGCTGCAGATAAATCGAGTCTGCTGTCACATCGAGGAGCCTGCCGGGTCCATTATAAATTCGCTCCGCTTGTTCAGTTGCGCTGTGATATCTTATGACTCTGAAATAAGGAACACTCCCTTGCCAGAATTGACGTTGGTAATACAGGACATCATTTTGTTGTTTAAAAAAACTAAGCCTCGGATTCGATAAGTCGTTTATCGCCTCAACCGCTGTTACTGAGTTGGTTTCTGCGTCAATTTGCCAAATTATTCCTGCTGTAAAAAACACTTGCT